GCAAAAGTGCTCCGACGTTTTCGGAGATGTATGAAACTTTTGCGAGATCCCGAGTTTGTTTTGCGAGATTTCGCAAAAGTCCGTCTTAATTTTTTTCTCCCATGTCCCCTGCGGGGCTCCGTATGATGTGAACTTCTACTCAGGGTTTTTTCTTCCAGTTCAGAGCAGAAATGTTTTTGTTAAGATTCTGGATGTTGTGTTTTTCTCCACAATTTTAATTATAAGCTAGATACATTGCTGCTAACAGCAACAGGGACGAGTCAGTAAGTCAGTTGGGCTTGTGAATCATGATTCATGGGTCAGTAAAGTGATTCTCGAGTATTGAACGATTCGTTCATGATTCGTGCATCACTACATATCAGTGCTGGCTCAGTGATGATGTCATCTTTACGGCTCAGACCTGTTCATGAAAAGAAGCACATTTCATTGGTAGAAGCGTTTTCCCCACGATTACGGCATGCTGCACTTTATTCGTGACTTTAAAACTCATCACAGACATTTTCTGCATGAAAACAAATTTTACTGGACGGTTTTTACATGTTTGGATCTTTTTGTTTGGGTAAAAACAAAAAGAGTCCTATTCAGAGGGTAATAAGATCCTGTGTTAAATTCCAGAGTGTTTCGTCTTTAAATGGAGTTGAAAGTTGTTTGAAAAGGGTTAACTTTGGTTTTTAGTGATTTCAGAGGAGGGAACGACACCCAGGTAATCACATCATTTATTTTAAAATTATTAAGAAAATAAGCCTGGACGGACCGTGTTCCATTCAGTTAAGTGTTTTACTTTGTGCTTGTGGAACAAAATTCCATGTAATCAAATTACTTAAAGCCCCCTCAGTCACAGCTCGATGTAAACAACTTCCTGTAGAAGTTTAGCCAAAAACAGCTGTTCTGATCCAGGTCGATGATTATCAGGACAGCTGGATTACTGCAGGCTGAAAACAGCCCGAAGCATCACAGCCTGTTCCATCAAAACCAGTGTGATAAACCAGAGTGGGAGACCCTCTGTTATAGAGGAGTACACACACACACACACACACCTTCCTTGCTGGCTGTTGGTGGAAAGAGTGAGATCACCATGTGAGTCTCGGCCCGTACAGGTGGTGTTCGGTGTCGGAAGCCACGCTGCAACTTTAGAGCTTCAGTTCATCAGACGCACTGTTGTGAGTGGCGTGCACGTGTTTGTTGGCGGTGGACTGAACGCGCTGCACTGTCTGGACATTTGACAGCGAGCCAATCAGCACACTGCAATAACTGCCCCTCCCCCTCCTCCATGTGCATAGACTTCATTAGGTGAGCAGGAAGTGGGACTGGATGGAGGAGCTTTTTAAAAGAGAACGTGACTGGAAACTGAAGTCTCGGGTTTAGGGTTTGCGGTCCCGCCGTCACTTTCTGCTCCGATGATCGTGTCCAACGTCCACGGCTGCAGATCAGATCTCACCTGTGAATATTTTACAGGAGGATTCATCAGGCGACAGAGGCAGCTGAGAAATGCATTTATTTAAATTCAAGTAGATTTTATCAGAGACGCGACAATAAACCGAAAACTCCGACATCAGGCCTCACATACAGATGCAAAAAACTAATAATAATAATAATGATGATAATAATAATAATAATAATAATGATGCTTTAGGGGCATTTTAAAGACATCCTGTGGGGCTGTGCCAAACCTGCAGTTCCTCTGATGTCCAGCAGGGGCTCCAGCAGCGAGTCAGTCTCATAGACTTTCATGTTAAAACTTGTTATCATTGAAGAATCAACCGTAATTATAAATTCACTGAATCCATTCTGGCGTGTTTCTTTTCTGAGGTTAAACCTGCACCTAAAATATTTACTGTGACGTCTGATTTTAGTTTTAATCAGTTTTTAATTTGTTTATTGATTTCTGATCATCTGATGCTGTAAAAACCTCCAGCCCTGTGCAAACGTCACAGTTTCCTTCCTGTGCTTCTTTAAAGGCTCTGTGTTTGTGCACTGGTGATGGGTGGCTCTTCGTCTGCAGTGAATGAGCTGAGGAAGAGTCTGAGTCCTCGCCGGCCTGCCAGGAGTACTGTTACAGATCAGGTGACTCCTCGAGGCTGAGCTGGGACGTGGGTGAAGGAGGCGCCGTCTCTCGGAGTGTTTAAAAGAAGGCGGAGGGCTCGGCGTCCATCTGCTGAGCCAACAGCAAACAGGAGCGATGAGAAGTTCGGACGCAGCCGTGCACAGACAGCACGATCGGTTTGATTTAAAGAGGAGCAGGAAGTCCGGGCGCCAGGGTCGGCCTATCAGCGAGGAGACCAGTCAGACTCTGGAGATTAGTGTCCGGCGGATCAACAGATCATCTTCTAACCTTCACACCGTGAGCAGGTTAAACACGGGTCAGTGGTCATCACAGATGGGCCAGTCTGAGCTGAAACAAGCTAACATCCCTCTGCCGCCCATCAGGGGCTGCAGACCCGGCAGAGGGGAAGTCCCTGCAGCTCCGCCTGCCGTCAGAAATACGATCCTTCATGTGTTTGTGGCAAAGCGGGGGAAACCAATCCAACAGTCAGACAGACTCAGCGAAGTCCACAGCAGACCGGCACTCGCTGAGCGGCTGGAACAGCAGAAGAAGAGCGATGACATCACTGGTGTGGACGGTGGCCGTACGACAACGATGCCGGTCATAGTTAAAGATGACGGCGGCGCCTGTGAGGAGCGGCGATGGCAAAGAGAGTTCTGCTCCGATGACTCAGCCGCTGAAACATTATCTGAGGACTCAGAGGTCAGAGGTCACGCAGAGACACTGGAGGAGGACGATGGCGGTGATGACGAGTACTACAGCGAGCAGAGGATCACAGAGTGGATCCTCCAGGTCAACTCGAGCCTCTTCTCTACAGGAAACACTCAGAGAGGCGCCGAGCCTGCAGAGGAGCGCGACGTGGCCACCATAAAGATCATCTACAGCGGGGACTGAACTCCCAGCTCAGACTCCTCCTCCTTTCACAGGACGCTCACAACCAGGGAGGAGCCCGAGGTCCTCGAGGAGCAACGCTGGCAAGAATAACAGAAAACGTTTCAGCAGAACAGCTGTAATCTGGACACTGGTGATACCAGCTCCAATTCAAATAATTTCATGTATATAAACAAATAACTGTGTAATTACATGAGTCATTTAAACTTGGACTGTGGCCCACCTGCAGTACCATCGCAGCCCACCGGGGGCAGAGTGCATTAATTTAAATAAAATGTAATCAACCTGGACGAGTGTCAGCAGATCCTTTCAGATCCCACGAGGCTTCGCTTCCACCAGTGTTCTTCATCAGAAACAGAGCTTTTGATTGGTCAGTAACGTCCTGGGCTGAACGTTTCTCTGTAGCTAGTGCGCAGGTTAAATTCCCACCAGACAACCAGAGAGCAGGAGCATAAATCCTGCATACATGGGGCATAAATCAGTTCTATTAAATATTATTTATGTAGCGTTAAATGAACATCAGCTTTTATTCTCGGAGGCTCAAACGAGAGACTAACCTCGGTCATTCTCACCAGATTGTCTCGATGGGCGGGGTTAGTGCTGATGACTCAAACTGCGATCTTGTCCTAATCACAACGATACGAAGTTAAAAAGACCGAAGTTTAGTAGCAGATAAAAAATAACTGTCCGTTATCTACGTTCACTTAACCGAACATCAGCCTGTTTCACCTGGCTGATGTTCACCCAGGGTCTAACCTGTACATTCAAGGGGCGGGGCTAGCAGCATCTGACCAATCAGAAACATGGATAAATGTGCTCACAGCAGAGCGGCTGATTTCATAAAGGAGGACCGGTGTGTGTGTAAACACTGCTGTATTAATAAAGTTTAGCCTGTTTGAAGCTGAATGTGTCACAGAACAGACTGATCACAGCTCTGTCTCGAGTGTTTCATTAATGTGTTAAAGACGGTCTGAGCTTTTCTCCTCTGAGCTGCAGACTCGTGGCGTTTAACGCTGAGAGGAAAGAATAAAACCTCTTTAAACGCTGACAGAACAAAAAACTGCTGAACAGCTCAGAGGGAGTGTGACGCTAATTTCCAGAGATCTGATTGGTCAGTTATTTCATACCTGCTGATCGGTAATCTAGAAACTCCCCTACTCCCGGGCAACATCAGTTGCCATGATGATAAACCCTAATAAGAAGGATCCACCTTCACAGTACAGGAAACCCAGAGCTAATCCTGGAAAAGGAGAAATCCTGCCTAATAGTGCAGACCTTAGGGGGACATTATGACTCCGCCCCTCCGACCTGACGTGGATGCTCTGGGTTTGTAAAGGAGGACAAAACAGAAACAGATAACTTATTTTTAGAACCGGGGGTCTGACGGTGCACACTCAGAGGACAGCTTCCTGCTCCGTCCCGACTCTAACGCCACCAAGGTTTCCAGAATAAACTTCCGTTGTAGTTTAGTCACACCTGAGAGCAGCAACTGAGACGTAAACTCATCAGGAAGGTGTTCACTGAGCTCAGGTGAGCTGGACGCTCGTTTCTGTTACACTTCTATCCAATCAGGCCTCAGAGAGGTCGCCCCCTGCTGGATGTTAGGCAGAGCGCAGGTTGAGTTTGGCACCTGAGTTTGTTTAAAGCTGCTCTGTGATTGGAGGAGAGGGTGAGGTCAATGTCACGGCTCCACTCAGAGGTCATCCAGCTGCAGCTCTGGCGGTACCGGGTCACCTGATCGTATCGGTAGTTGGAGGGGATTCAGAATGCACGCGCATGCACACACCGGTCCTCCTCCAGAGGTGCAGCACCCCCTCCCCCTCCACCCCCCAGCCTCTGTATGCGCCGTCACAGTGCAGACAGAGGTTGTAAACATGGCGGCGGACGGGATGGTGCTCACCAACCACGACCATCAGACCCGCGTGGGGATCCTCACAGGTAAGGACACCGTGTCATCACATGCGCTAAAACGCCTCTGGGCAGCGTACCTGTGCGCCGTTTTGTGCCCGGCTGCCTGCGCAAGTCGGTGTCACGATACGGGCTGTCTCCGCTGCAGAGCGGGCTAACGTTAGCCGCATGCTAACCGGGTTCCCCGAGCGCCGCGCGGCTGCTGGCGCACAGGTGCGCGTTTTGCGCTAAAGAGCGGGATTAACGTGTTTGTGTGTGACTGCGGATTAACGTGTGAGCACCGGCTGCACCTGTCAGCGAAACTGCGGCGCTCAGAGGTGTTTTATTCGCCGTGAAGCGGCCAGGAGTAGGGAGAAGGGCCGGGGAGCTCTTTCAAAATGCGAGACGAGCTGTGCGTGCTGCAGTGAGTGTCTACCAGAAGCCGTGCTTTTATTTTGGAGGTAACCCCGCGGTGTTCCGGTGTTAGTGGCTAGCTTGCAGGTGATATTTTGAGCAGTGTGCCGTTACGGAGCCGACATGAGCTGCATTATTCATGTCCCTCTGCGGGTCTGACGAGGGCCTCGGCTCACGGTGGGCTTTTTTTAAGATAACGGGACCTCGCGGCTGTTTAACGGCCGGTGTTTCACCCCGTTAGTGTCCGTTTAACGCAGTAATGAGCGTTTTTCCTCCTCACGCCATTTAGTTCAACATTAAACATGAACGCGCAGCGCGGCACCGAAGCTGTAGCTGATGTTCGCACTGGAGTCGTGCCCGCGGGAGGACTGGGACCAGTGAACCCAGTAAAACTGGACAGGGATGCTTAGCTAACTGAGGATAGCATGGGCAGTACACTGTGCGCCCAGCAGGGGGCGCTGTGGGAGGGCCCGCAGTGATTTCCACACAAAAACACGCTAATTCCCACAAATCCAGAATCAGTACTGTGAACTGAAACAAATCAACTGTAATGATCAATATTTTATTCACTGTGACGCTGATTTTTGCCCATAAAACACTAGCATTCGGCTAACATGTGCTGATTGGTGAGTTTTAGAATAGGAGGTCCTCTCGATGGCGTTCTTTTCCAGGTGATACCTCCTGTAGATGTTAGCGTAGTTATGTGGTTGAAGTGTTTGAAGGTGACGCTAACTGCTGCTGGCTTCATGCCCCAAATCAAAATGGAGGATGTAATAAAGTGGCTTGTGGTGCTCATAGAAAAGTACTTTACTGCATTAAAAATCCATTAAAATGTCTAAAAATACAACTGTATGTATTGTTTCATGTAAAAACATGCTAAAGATTTCCATGAGAAAAATGTTTATGCCACGAAATGTACATTTTTGTTATCCAGCTCCATCGAGCTCCATTCATCCAGGAGGAGCGTGAGAGTGCCCTCTATGGAGCAGGAAGAGAACAGCTGCTCTTTCATCCACCGTGCTTGCAGTTCCTCGTTAGTGACTTTAACGAGCAGAGAGAACAAAGTTTGAACACACCAAATAACACAGACAACCAGAGCACGATACTGGATCGTACACCATCTGTCTGTCGTAAGGTTTTACGTGTCAGGACATCAGAAAAAATTTGGTGTTAAAAATAAGAAAATACAACCTCAGATGAACACGTTGTACATTACACAGTAATTATTTAACAAAAAGACCAAATCCAGAAGTGGTGTAGCTCCTTCAGCAGCAGTGACCCACAGTGATCGGTCTGCGCCATCACTGTGGACTTTGGTCGTTGAGGTCTGCAGCATTCGTTCATGCACAGCTCTCTGAGCTCTGCAGCAGCTCCGTTCTTTCCTTTTTCAGCCGTTCTGTTGGATCTTTGTCCTGCTGATGACCCAGTTTGGTCCCAGCTTTATCTGTGGGACATCTGCACTCTGGTCTCGTCTCAGAGCACATCGTTCCTGTTCAGTTCCTTAGAGCATTGCACGCTCTGATCTTGTGGTGAATTTGCTGCATCCGCTGCTGGGAGAATGTGGATCCACCCTGTTCTCTCCTGTAGAAGCAGCGAGGGTCGAGGTCTCACACAGTTTCTGTATTTTGACCTTAAATGAATTCTGACTAAGTTTAATATGTCACATTGTTTTTTTAAGGTTGTATTTAAATCATTTTAAACTAGCTTACTTTCCTACTTTCTTTTGACTGTGACTGTTTCTGCTAATATTCGTAGGCGAGAACTGATCAAACGTTTCCCAGTCCGGATGCTGACTCCTTGTATTTGAGGTCCTGACGTAAAATAAAGTAATAAAGGACGAGAGGAGCATGATAAATAAAATAAAAAAAACCCTATGTTTTGGCGTTACTCTTCTTGTTTACTGTTGCTCGTCAGATTGGAGCTGAGTGTGAGAGTCTTTCCTGCTGTTATGTACACAAACGGTTTCAAACCTGCGAAGCAAACCACTGAAATCATATTGAAAGCCAGACTGAGCTGTGAATCAGGTGAGGATACTCGGGTAGAGTCCAGGAATCAGAAAACAGCAGAAGGAAATTAACCAAACAGCTGAAGTCAACTGACGTTGTCCCCCTTTGAAGTCCAAAGTCTGGATGAGGAAGATCAGGGCTTCCTGTCATGTTACGTGCGAACTCTCGGTCTATTCCTGGTTCCTCAGCTGCGCTGCTCTTTGCTATTTCATTGTTTGTCTTGATCCGTTAACTCTGGACTTGCAGCGGCACTGAGCACGCCTGCAGGACGGCGTTCTTCTACAAGCTTCGTGGTTGTGAGCGAGGGTTTTTTGAATCTGCCGAGGTCTTCCCTGCCAGCTCCTCAGAGTTATCGGACCGCCGTTTCCTCCATCTTCCTCTGCAGCACTTCACCCTGAGCGGGTCCTTCAGCTCTGACGACACGGCCGCAACATTTCAGTCAGTAGCTCTTCACGTGGAGCTCTTCAGCTGTCCCTCAGACTTCATTGTGGTTGTTGTTGGTCATGTGATCAGCGTAGGAGGTCTTTCCTGTGGCCGTGGTTTTGTTTGGACGCTCTGCTGGAGATGACGAGGACCTGCAGGTCTTGTTTTGTCCTGCTGCTCTCAAACTCTGCAGTTGTTCAGTCTTGTTGGCACATCGTTACCAGGCGTCCTTTGAATTTGTTGTTTCTGTCACTCTCATTTGTAAGTGCCATTTATTCTTTGTGATCATTACTCTCTTGCTTCCCCTCAAAAATAAAGATTTTGTTCACACGTATGACGCTATCAACGACCTGTTCTGCTCACTTCCTGCTTTTTCATTTTAAGACTGGACGATGATATTTTGGCGTCTGTGTTCTTGTAACTTGTGGAGAAACTTCGATCCTCCAAAAAAACTCATCCTGTTGGTTTCCAGCTCCCTGTTTTTATCTTTGGACTCTGCTACAGCAGCTTTGCATGATTTACAGTTGATAATAATCCTTCTTTATCTCACACTGAGCCTTGTGCAGCTCCTCGGTTCATCCATGTCTGAATTGAGCCGATTTAGCTCCTCCACCTTTAAGACAGCTTTGTTCTGATTGTCTGTGAAGGTTCTCAGTAGGGCTGCCACGATTACGTCGACTATCAAAATCGTCGACGACTGATTTAATAGTCGACGCGTCGTTTAAAGCTTTGTAAGATCCTGAAAGACGTAGGAATAAGTAGTAGGATTTAAGAGTGTAATAACGGACTGAAACAGAAGGAGGCAGCACTGCATGTACAAGGATGCCAGCTGCCGTTAAACCCCGAAGAAGAAGAAGAAGCTGTGTCCGGTATCGTTGCTGTGTCCAAATTCAGGCCGCATCCTTCGGAGGCCGCATTTGTAGGCCGATTACGTTACAGCAACGAGGCGAAGACTGTCCAAATTCGAAGACTTCTCCAAATGTGACCTTCATTTCCCCAGATTTGAAGGATGTGTCGGCATATCCTTTGTGGCACAACCTATCCCAGAATTCATAGCGCAGCTCAGCCAATTCCAGTTTCCAACAATGGCGGCAGCTAGTTAGTTTTGATATTACTCTTATTATTCTTTCTGGGTCACAAAATAAATATTTAATATATTTTCAGGCGAGAATGTAGCTGTGTAAACCTCAAATATCTGCTCAGTTTATCAAGACACCACATATTTTCAAAAGCGCTCCGACGTTTTCGGAGACGTCTGTTACCCACTAGCTCGATAGCAAGCCGGTGTTCTGACAAACCATCCTACTTTGGCAAAACGTCCTACCGTAAGTAGTTTATGCACATTTCTGCTGTCAAAGAGTAATTCCAGCACCAGTTTAAGTAGGTATGACGGTTTGCCACTTAACTTTGCCCATCAGAGTATGCTTGTAGCTCATATGCATACAGCCAGGATGGTTTGCCACTTCATTTTACCCGTTAAAGTATGTGTGTAGCTGTTATTAACAAAGGTAGGATGATTTGCCACTGAATTTTAGCTGTTAAAGTATGCTTGTAGGTGACATTCACAAAGGTAGGTTGGTTTGGCAGTTAATTTTACCGGTCAGAGTATTTTTCTAGGTAATATTCACAAAGGTAGGACAATTTGCCACTGAATTTTGTGTTGTGCGCATGCCCAGAAACAACGGGTAGGATGGTTTGCCAGGTAGGATGGATTCCCAGAACACCGGGGGCTAGGCTCACTAGAGCTGGCGAGAACTGCACACTCCCGGCAAATCGTTTTCAGACCCACCGTGGTCTTTCGCTACTCAGGTTAAACGTGGTATAAGTCACTTAGATAACCTGAAAATGTTATTGTTTGTCTTTTTTCAGTGTTTTATTTGTTCGTGAGTAAATCTGTTTGGCTGAGATTAGATTAAGTAAAACTTTATTAATTCCCCGGGTGGTTTTCACACAGCTGAAAAATGTCAGACAGAAAACTGATTATCAGAAGTGTGAGATGCTCGAGAATTTACTCCGGTGTCCCGTTATATTTTAGATAGCAAGGAGTTTATTAAACTTGAAAAACAATCTGCAAATTTCATTAAAATTTAATAAACTATCATCTTGTCTTTATTTTTAGTTAGCACTTACCTTAAACACTTAAAGCTGTAAGCTAATGATAGTTATATAAGAGCAGATGCTGCT